TAAGATAGTATATTATTTAGGGCTTGAAACAAAAGTGATGAAAAATGAAATCCCGAATGTACCAATGATGGTATTTGACATTGTGGTTTTAATTTAGAAAATTGTAGCTATAAGAGAAATAATAACATTGCAGATTCATTTAAAAAAGAAAAACACTCCACAATGTACATGAATGAAACACAACATTTATGAAAGACTGCATGAAATCCAACTAAAATAATGCTTAAAAAAATCTCTTATACATTGTTGGTGGGATTGTAAAATGGTACAAACACTCTAGAAAGCAGTTTGGCGTTTCCTCAAAAAGCTGACCATAGAAGTTATGTATGACCCAGCTATTCTACTACTTGGCATATACCCAGAGAGAATTAGAACTGAGGCACAAACAGAGACTTGTACACCAGTGTTCACAGCAGCATTATTCACCATCACAAGAACATGGAAACAGCTCAAATGTCCAACCACAATAGAATGGATTGAGATATTATGGTGCATTTACATGATGGAATACTATGCATCACACAGGACAATGATTTTGTATATTACTACCTAACTTGTATTACATTATACTGGAGAGTATTATGCTAAGTGAATGAACCCTATTCCATAAAAACAAATTTTGTATAAGACCATTATTATAGAACAAGTATGAGGATCTAAGGGGGGTGAAGAAGGTGTGAGCAGAGGGGTGAGGAAGAGCAGGGGGTGGGGGTGGTTAATCATAGGGTCTCACAATCTTATGGGTGGAGGGAGGAGTGGGTAAAGCAAATGGAAAAGATCCAATGTGAAATACAATGTACACAAACTTTGTCAATAAATCTATATAATAAATAACCAAACCAAAAAACTCATACCAAAGTATACTGTTAAAAAAATAGATTCAGGAAGCGTGGGGGATGTCTGACCTCATAGGAATAAATTATGTGTAGTGGATGGGGACTCTTGCCCCTTGTTGAGTTAGTGGAGGTCAGCTGCAGTACCCTTACTAGGAAACAAGGGAACACTGAATGGTTTAAAATCAGGAAAGATGTGCGTAAGGGTTGTATCCTTTCTCCATACCTATCCAATCTGCACGCTGAGCAAATCATTCATGAAGCTAGACTATGAAGAAGAATATGGCATCAGGGTGGAGGAAGACTCATTAGCAACCTGCATCATGCAGATGACATAACCTTGCTTGCAGAAAGTGAAGAAGACTTGATGCACTTGGTGAAGATTAAAGACTACAGCCTTCAATATGGGTTGCATCTCAATATCAATAAAACAAAATTTCTCACCACTGGACAAGAGGCAACATCATGTTGTTATGTGTCATCGAGTCACCTGTGACTCATCACAACCCTATGCACAACAGCCTAAAACCCTGCTCTATCCTGTGCCAATCTCATTGTCTCTGGCACACCTACCCCCATTAACCCAGTCACTGAATCAATCCATCTCATTGAGGGTCTTCCTCTCCTGTGCTGTCTCTCCACCCTTTCAAGCATGATTTCTCTCTCCAAGGACTGGTCCATCCTTGCAACATGTCAAAGTATGTCAGACATATTCAGAATCCTTGCCTCGAAGGAGCAGCCTGCCTGTAGGCCCAGTTGAGGAGCAGTTATCTTGACTGAAAAACTCTGTCCAGACTCTTCCCTGATCCTGCATTGTAACATGTTGTTTCCCCAATAGACTCCATAATTGTGAATACTGTCTATGAGCTCTATATTGCAATGAACTACTGAACGCAGTAAGAAAGTAAGTGCCAGGGACAGGATGATTGGTGTCAGAATTGGTAAGAAGGATGGACAGAGGAGATAGATAAACCCTACTTCTGCCTCACAGAAATCAACTTTGGGCTACTGGTGAGTCTCTCGTCTCTCATGAAGTTAGAGAAAGCCGGCACCTCTAACACTACTGCTGTATCATTTTTAGTTTTGTTTTCTTAAAAATGCTTGTTTTTTTAAAATACATTATACAACTGTCTTTCAAAATTAAAAAAATATGAAAAATGAATAAACAGTGAAAATATTGTATCCTAGTTTTGACTCCCTAGCTTTTGTATTTCCTCTCCAATATAGTCAATTTAATGTTTTGTATCTCTCTTCAGAAATTTATGGATATATTAGCTAATATGTACATACTTGTTTTAGTCACCCCCGCCCCCGCCGCGCATAAAGAGCGAAGAACAGATTGAGATTGTTTTCGCCTCAAGACCTACGACGGCCGGGTATGGGTCTGAAGCTCCAGGGCCATCCATTTTCAGGGCTAGTTGATTCTGGAGGTGACCTCCATCTAACAAAGAATACTAGACATAAATATTTAAAACCCAACAATTTATCTTTGTGATAACTTCCTTTTACTACACAAAGAGCTTCTGCATTCTTCCATGTGGCTACACAGTAGGCATTTATTGTGCTGAATTATCTCAAGAAAGGAAATTACTAGGTGACAGGACTTCAGGTTACTTTTTGAACGATGGTATAAACTCTTTGAGGGGTGACTTTTGTTCTTTGGAGGCCCTCACTACTTTTCCCTTCTCGATTACCTGGACAGCCCTCAGCAAAGCATCCTGCAGAGCCTGGTTCTTCACCATGTTCGTGATCAAGAAAGTGACATCCCTGATGTACATCTGCCTCACGTTAGCAGGGTAGTGTTCAGCCTTGTTACCATACGCGATGAAGAAGGTACAGAGTGCAGTGATGTCTCCGTCTTGCAGCCCGAACTCCTCCAGGACAGACTCCCACACGACCCTGATGTTCTTGTTCTTGATTCTGCGTCTAAGGACAGAGGCTAAGGTGGGAAGACTTCTCATCAGGTCTGGCAGCTTTGCAAGCACTCGAGTGTGTAAGCAGATAAAGACTTCAATGACATAGCTGTATAAAATATTCATCTCCATTGAAGTGAACCTATAACAAAGGTGGGAAAGTTCTTAAGCAGTAGAACTCTTTTTTAAAATAATAATAATAATAATTATTATTATTAGAGTGTGTGTGTGTGTGTGTGTGTGTGTGTGTGTGTGTGTGTGTATGTACCGTCAAATCGGATCTGACTGGTACAGGAGGAGCATCTGGTGGATTCAAACTGTGCGCCTCTGGGTTTGCAGTGCAGCTTCTTGCCACTAGGCCACCAGAGCTCCTCTAGCAGTAGAACTCTTTACATACAAACACCAAATGGATGCTTTAGGATAATAACTAAGGTAATAGGGGGAGGTGTGATGGAGACAGTGAGATTGGCACAGGATAGGGCAGGGTTTAGAGCTATTATGTACAGAGTTGCTACGAGTTGCAATTGACTCAACTGGCACATAACAACAAAGTTAGGATAATGTAAAAAAAATTACAAAATAACTAGGGCAATCAGCTGTTATATTTTAGATAATACTTTAGTAATAGAGCCTAGACTGGACAGGTTAGCTTTCAGTCCACCATAAAATAATTTCCTTTACAAAGGAATTATATTATTCATTTCTGCTAGTAAGATTTTGACAAGCAAGAAGCTCTGTGATGAGGTGTATACTACGGTGCCTGGAACCGAACCATAGCTGACCCTCAGTAGGATTTCAGAGGTGGTATCTGCACGCGTGATTGCCCATCCTTCTCCTGCGGAGCAGCTGGTGGCCCTGAACCATGTGCCGTTGGGATTGCAGGGCAGCTTCTTGCCACTGAGCCACCAGTGTGTGTGTGTGTGTGTGTGTGTACATATAAATACACACACACACACACACGCTAGGGGAGGCTATTCCTTAGAGAGGGACATCATGCTTGAAAAGGCAGAGGGTCAGCAAAGGAGAGGAAGACCCTCAAACAGATGGATTGACACAGTGACTGTCACAAGGGGTTCTAGCGTGTCAGAGATTATGAGGATGGCACAGAATAGGACAGGGTTCAGATTTGTTGTTCATAGGGTCCCTATGGGTTGTACTTGATTCAAAAGCCTAACAACATATATGTGTGTGCACACGCTCATGAACTATTTTAATAAATGAACCAGAATTATGAAATTGTCAGAACCACATTAAGAAATTTCTTGAAATGACCAGTGCAAGCTCTCACAAAGCCACTATTACTTACTTACTGGATACTCACCTGAGGGCTAGAACTGCTGTCCACATCTCATCTTGGGCTGCCTGGCTTGCCAAAGTCTTGCTATGATATTCAAATTTCTCTGTGAGATTATCTTTGGCAAAGTCCAATTCTTTGAACTGTGCTTCTAACATTTGGAGTTTGTTGTCTACTCTACAGATTAAAAAGTATTAAGGGTTAGTTTAAGTCAAGTGAAGTTTTGGTGTTTTATTTATTTTTCTTAAAAAAGGCTCTAAGGCATTGACGTCGAGCATTACTGAATTTGGCTAGGATTTAAATTTAAAATTATGAACAGATGTTACCATTTGCCATTTGCATTCTTTAATTCCTTTTATTGCCAATATTTTATAATTTTTCAAATTATCTGCCATATCTTGTCTCCGTCCTGTTATTTTTACTTGAAACAAGCATTACTTTACTTGATTCTCATAATAACCACAGAAAGTGAAAGTTCTTTTCACCATTTTTCAGGTACTGCAGCTTGGGAAGATTGAGATCTAATGTCAGATAATGCTGAGACCAGGTGACTTTCTTCACCTTGCTCAGACTCTCTTAAACCAGCAGTTCAAATCTACCAGCTAGCCTCAGAAACCTGATGGCTGTTTGCTATCATTCCAGAACTTGACAACAGTGTGTGTTTGGCTCAAATTCCACTTCCTCCCTGAATCGCCCAGCATCTCCACCTGGAGAACTCCTCACCCTCCAACGTTTCTCTCACAAGGGCCGCCTAGACCAGCTGTCATACCCTAAATCCTGCTTTATTTGTAGGGCTAGCTTTTCATTAACTAGATGGTATGCTCCAAGGAGTAGGGAGTGGGATGGAACAAGACTATTTCTTGTATATCTTTTGCTCATTCCCTGAAATCCAGCAGAGTTTTTACAAAGAAATATTAAAATGCTTTTTGAATGATTGTTATGTGTGATGTGAACGAGATGTTGAGCTGTGTAATCCCATGTGGGGATTTCAGTATTCTCAACAGCTGTTTTCATCAGAAGGTGCTATGGCACTGGGATTATGTCCACTCGAACCACAAAGAACTGCAGCACCAGAACTGGCCTAGGTCATCCATGTTGTCTTTTATGAAGGAAGGGATACACCTGCCACTTACCTGAACATCTATGTCCCCTGACTTGGAAAACTTTGCAGTTGTCCTAAACTCCATCCTTGGCTATTTTCTCTTTTTAATCTTAAATTTCTCTTAAGTGAATTCAGTTTCAGTTATGACCCTCATTTGACTCTAAACTTGTTTTTTTTAACTCTCTTTTGAAAATCTCCACCTGGGAAAAGATGTTAAACTCAATGGCGTAAAGTTGAACTAACTCCTTCTGTCACAAACCAACCAAATCATGTCATTCCATGGCTTCAATGCCTTTCATACCACCACGACTTTCCAGCGACAACATCAGAGCAAAGGTGGGTTTCCTCAGGAAAGATTTTCAATTCTTTCCCTTTCTCTCCTTTGCCAGTCCTCTCACACATCATAGAAGACATCGTTTCCTCAGTCTATGGAATTTCTTCCCATATTTTTCATTATAAGATTCCTACTCATTCTTTAAGATCCAGCTTAAATAGCTCTATGGGAAGACTTCCTTCTTCTAGTGTCAAAGGCAAAAATCCATTAATCTTTCACATTTCCACAGCACTGTAAGAACAGCACCATCTTAAAGTGGTTGTTGTGTATTGTCAAGTGTGTACTGTACCCTCCAGTGGGTTTTGAGAGGCTGTATAATTTTAATATTCAGTCATTCCTACAGGAACCTTGGTGTTGCGGTGGCTAAAGAGCTAGGCTGCTAGCTTAAAAAGATGGCAGTTCGAATCTATCAGTTGCTTCATGGGGATTAAATACCTGGCAATCTGCTTCTGTAAAGGTAACCCCCCTGGGAACCCTGGGGAGCAACTCTACTCCATCCCTTAAGGTTGGTATGAATTAGAATTGACAAGAAAGCAGTGTATTTAATTTGGCCATTCCTAAAGTTTGTGAACTCCTTGACAGCACAAACTGTATTTTATTTTTGTTTTCCTGGCATTTTGTATTCCATACACAGTGGGTTCTCAATAAACTGATGGAGTTACACTACCTAGGAGTAGATTTTTATTTTTAATTTACACACTTTTAGAAGACTTGAGCCACACTGACACAGAAGAAACAGAATTAGTGTAGATCTAGTTCTTGGCCTATTTTTATTTTTTGTAGTCCTCTTACCCCTCTGCCCAGGAAAGCAGACCCATGCATATTCCCTCCCTGCAGCCCTCAGTGACCTTTTCATTGCCTCTCTCAAGGATATCAGTGTTGTAGTTTCAGTGGTCATCTTCTTAAAGCAAAAAGAAATGAAATGCAGCAAAAACTCAGTCGTTTTGAATCCACTCAGCAACAGGCAGCAGTGGCATGAATGCCCAATCTCAGTTCTGCCTGAAAGGTCATCAGTACCAGAAGCTTTTAATAGCCTTTAGACCCAAATATAGTTTCAAAGATTACCACGTGAACACAGGTGTCCTGGAATGCACTGTGATATCTGACTCTGAAAAGTGAGTGACAGTACTAGTACTCTTAACAGAGCACAATAACCACATGTAACTGTGGTCCTGTGTATTTTCCGGTAACTATGTACACATGTACATATGAATATGCACGCTAAGATAAAATTTAGGATGAATATACACTTAGGATAAAATTTAATGGAAATAATCATCACTTTACATTTTAACAGCTTCATTATTCAGTTAAAACCTAAATTAGGTTTTAAAAAGGCCCAGACTTTTTATGACATTATTATATCAAGCCAAAAATATGTCATCAGTGTCATAGATTGCATTGTGCCCCACTCCTCCAAAAATGCATGTATATAATAGAATGTGGACGGGACGCTATGTAATGATCCTCCACAATCTGTTAAATACTTTCAGAAAGATTAAGGGTGAAATGCAACACTCTCTTAATCCCATCACACCCCTTACTGGATGTAAAGGCAATTTCCAGAAGATGGCCTATAATAACTTTTCTCTCACTAGACATAAAAGCAGAAAGATCACCAGCAGTGGAGAGTGATCTTTCTGGACCTGGGGACAGAAAGTGGTGAAACTCTGACAAAGGTGATGGTTAGAATACATGGATTACTTTGTTTGTGGTATCAAGCTTCCCAATTAAGAACTGACACTGTCAGAGATCTCTCCAGAGTGCTAAAGAGCAATGATGTCAGCCTGAAGAATCAGGTGTCAGGAAGTGTGAGGATGGCACAGGATAGAACAGGGTTCAGATCTGTTGTTCATAGTGTCACTATGGGTCATAATGTACAACACCTAACAATAAGAGTGCAGCAATGTGGGCGCATGTCTGACACCTGACTTCATGGGAATTAGTTTTGTGTTGTGGATGTTCTTAATGGGGATGGAGCCTCTTTGTGGAGATTGTAGAGGTTAAACTCGGCTGTCTCCATGCCACCTTTGCTCTTTTTACAAAAATGAATGTCTATTTGTTTAAAGCCATCCACTTGAGGCATCTCCGTTACAGCAGTATTAGATGTTTAAGGCAACCAGGAACTAATAAATGTTTATTTAGAACTTTTATCCTGGAGACCATGAGTCCTGGTGGCACAACAAGGTAGGCACTTGGCCGCTAACGAAAAGATTGGTGGTTAGAACCCACCTAGTGGTTCATCCGGAAGAAGACTTCGTGATTGGCAACTGTAAAGATTACAGTTTAGAAAGCCCTATGGAATAGTCCTGCTTGGTCACATGGGAACACCATGAGTTCAAAATCAACCCAACAGTACTTATCAATAACAACAATGCTGCTGGAATTAGATATTGTGAAGAGAAACAAATATAAAATGGAATTCACATTCTCAAAGGGTTTAAAATTTAATAGGACAGAATACTTAAAAACTATACCACCAAAAGGAAGTAGTAGAAAAAGAAATCTATACTACTAAAAGGAAGTAATAAACAAATACCAAAACCCATTGCTGCAAAGTTGATAGAGATCCCATAGGACAGTGTAGAACAGCTCCATGGAATTTCTAAGACTGTAAGTCTCTATGTAAGCAGACTGCATATCTTTCTCCTGCAGTGTGGCTGGTAGGTTCCAATAACCAAACTTTCAGTTAGCAGCTAAGTGATTCACTGAACTTTTTTTTTTTAATTTTAAAATAAGTTTATTTTTCATTATATACTTTACATTGAGCACTTGAAGAAAGAAGGTAATTACAATGATTTAAAAATCCAACCCTTAGGCCCAATAAACATAATTCACTAGACACAAACAATATCTAGAAATGTATGTAGACAGAACAAGTGAACTGTGTAAACATGGTACCAGGGATGGGAATCATGCATGACCAGGGAAGTCATTCTGTCATTGTGTTCTCCTCAAAACATGATTCACATATTCTTTCAATCACATACACATTCATTGCAGGAGCAGACCTCAGAAGCTAACAACTTGGAACAATGATTTTTGTTGATCTTAAGAGAAAACTGAGTTTAATAAAGAAGGAATTCAAGGAGACGAGTTCAGGATGTTGATCAGAAGCTGTAAATGTCTCCTACTATTGATGTGTATACTGTAAATAAAGCTAAGATAGAAGTTTCTTTTTCTCATTGAAAACATGATCCAAGGTAGAGGTGAACAGACATTGTAGCTAGCCATCGAGATGTTACAGGTAAGACTCCTTACACTGGAGCTAACCAAGTTTCAACAGCCTTTAGCTATGTCACAAAAATATTTAGAGTAATATTTATGAATATGAGCATTGCTCCCTCCCTCTATAAACAATCACCTTTGAAGCACACACTGGGGTCTCTACCTCGGGGTTCTTCTCTAGCGTAAACAGCTCTACAGATGCACACGAGTGACCCACTTACTCATTGACTGTCTCAAAATATTCTTTAGAAGCAGTTGGGCTTGGCTTGATTTGAAAAGATTGAAATTAAAATAGTCCCTATAGTTCTCAGCTGAATTAAACTCAGGTTTCTATAGTTCTCAGCTAAGTTAAACTCAGGAATTTTTCCATTGTCCCTGGTAGAGCCCCACACCCAGCTGTATCCAAGGCAACAGTATTTCAAGAATGGCTAGCAGAAGGGCAGAGCAAACAAGCAGAGATTGTTTCTCAATTGATAACCCATGTGCCTTTGTTTCCCGACTGATAACCAATGTATCTTGTGCTTTTCCACTGCCCTGGAGTTTGAACTCATTGTATACTTAAGAATTTGTGAACTGCTACATGTGCTACGTGACTGCCGCAAGTGCTACGTGCAAAAATGCTGTGTAAACCCTGAGCGAACACTGAACCAATGAATTCAAACTGTGCTTTCATCACCCAATGAGAAGCTGATACCCAGTTGTATCTCTTGCTGTTGCATCAAGCCGGTGTCTTGGAGTCTTGGGTCTTCGCTGTCCACTCAGGACAGAACAGGACCAGCGGTTCGGGGGTCCTTCAGATTGTAAGAGAATCAGGCGTCCAGTTGGCCTGGCAGACTTTGCCATGGGCCTCCACAAACTGGAATGCCTTCACCTTTGTGTGTCCTACAGAAATTGTTGCGTTTAGAGACAAGGCCAACGAATGTGAACTGTGAGGTTGTGGCCGTATCTGTGGATTCCCCCTTTAGCCATCTGGCCTGGATAAATACATCTAGGAAGAGCAGTGGGTTGGACCACATTAACATCCCCTCCTGTCAGAGTTAATGAAGCAGATCTCACGAGATTACGGTGTGCTGTTGGAGGGCCCTGGTATTGCACTAAGAGGTCTCTTCATCATCCACCCCAATGGTGTCATCAAGCACTAGAGTGTCAATGACCTCCCAGTGGGTTGCAGTGTGGACTTTTAAAAATTAATTTTAATTAAAGTTAACAGAGACTTAGGGTTTCCATTCATTCATTGTTGCACTTTTCTTCCTGCCCACTCCCTTCCCCCCAATTCACTCTTCTCTTCAAACAGTAAAAGAAAATTTCTTTCATTGTTATATAATCCCTCCCCCCAAATCCACTCCACTGTGCAGCCTTCATTCTGGACTCCTGTCATGACAATAATACCTAATACTATATACCTTTTAAACGGTTCTCTCCCTCATCTGTTTCAATGCAGTGTACATATTTATCCCATCTTTCTCAATCTTCCCTCAACCCTATGTCAGTCCCATTTTACAACAGTGGCACTATGCAGTATTTGTCCTTTTGTGACTGAGATATTTCACTCAGCATAATGTCCTCCAGGGTCACCCATTTTGTATAATATTTCATGAGTTCCTTGTTTTTCAATGCAGCATAATATTCCATTGTGTGAATATACCAGAGCTTCCCTATCCATTCGTTTGTTGATGGGCACTTGGGTTGTTTCCAACTCTTTACTATGTGAACAAATCCACAATAAACATGGGTGTACATATATCTGCTTGGGTGGTGGTTATGGTTATGGTTAGGGTATGTTCCCAGTAGTGTAATTACTGCATCAAATGGTATTTCTATTTGCAACTTTTTGAGAAAGTGCCATACAGCCTTCCATAGTGGTTGTACCAGATTCACTGAACTTTAAAAAAAATCATACGTAATGGTGAGCTCTGGTGGCCTAGTGGCAAGAAACTGCACTGCAATCTCAGAGGCGAGTGGTTCGAATCTACCAGATACTCTGCTGGAGGAGGAGGAACAACCTCCTCCTGTACCGGTCAGATCTGATTTGATGGTACACACAAAAAATAATGAAAAAAAATTTAGAGTCCTGGGTAATTAGGGTAAAGGTCATACTGAAAACAAAGCAGCCACTTGACCCTCCACCTTTCATTAGCATACTCAGAGAAGACACAAAAGGCCCTCAACAATATGGGCTGACAGGGTAATAAAGTTAACAAAGGGTTTGAGCATATCAGAGATAAGGGGATGATAAAAGGACAAGGTTCAAATCTGTTGTTCACAGGGTCACTGTGAGTTGGAATCCACTTGATGTCATCTAACAACAAAACACTGAGAGTGGTTTAGCATAACCCCAGAGGGAAATGTAAATCTTTGATTAATAGAGAAGGAAGTCAGAGAAATTGATCAAAATCAGGAGGTGTAAAAGCATATGATGTCTTCAGGGAACCATCAGTGGGTTTTGAGCAGATGATTGATGTGAGAAAAAAAGGGAGGGAATCAAACTGAAATTTAAAAGAACCATATCATAAATTTACTCAGTGATTGAATCATTTATTCATCTATTCAATATTTATTGACACTATAGTCATTGAATAGTTGAAACTTA